GTTCGCATTGCATCCAGTTAGGAAACAGTGTGAGTCAGGAACCTCTCAGTTCATTTTCGATTTCCAAGAGGTGTTATCAAAGGGTGCATACCAAATCTACCGACCAATTTTGGTCTGTAGATAGACCTACAACCAATCAGAGCAACTGTGAATGCATAATGAGCTTGCAGATTCGTCTGATTCCCAGGCTAAGTTCTACAAACTGTACTGGGACCAAAAAAAGAACATGATGTATCCACACTTGCCATCCAATAGCCTTTACCCAAGGCATTATCTATTATTGTGTTGGGTAGTGGTTAATAGTTAAACACCTAAAATAAATGTAGTGTTTGTTTTACCCATGTATCAGATGCCTTTATGCAAAGCAAGTTAATTCAGATATGGGTCAATAATGTGCAGGGAGCAGTTAAGCATCTTGCTGATTAAAGCCAACAGGTACACTTTCCAGACATTAGGGATCTAACCCAGAACTTAAGTTAAACATTTTAAATAACTGTAGCAACTGAAAGGTGATTGACTGCCTCACAGTGTGATTGTCTGTAGTCATGAATCGGTGTAAATTAAGTACATTTACATTCCCAGTGTAATGTTATTCAAGCAGTTATATAGCTGGTTATTCAGTCAGTCAGCCAGCCAGCCATTCAGTCAGCCAGCCAGCCAGCCATTCAGTCAGTCAGTGAGTCAGTCAGCAGGCTTAACAAATCATTTAGTCAATCTCTACCCAACCAGTCCAGTCTGTCCACTAGTTATGTAATGGATGCTCCAATCCGCCAGCTCATTCGAGTCCCGTTTTATTTGGACACTGGATGATGTTAACGCCTCTCAACGCGGATTACTTAGGGCTATTTTTAAATTCTCGTAGCATTGCCAGGTTTCAAACATGCCACAACACGCCTGAGTGAGCACAGCCATGTTGGCATCTGGTTAAATACTTTTCCTTTTATAATCTGTTTATTTTGATCCATTGTAAGGGCCATGTCAGATTATGGTGGGCTTTTATTATGGAAGCTGTATTGTGTGGTATTCATTGTCAAATATGTCTAATGGTGGTGCAGTAAAACGGCAATATGTCAACCAACCTCCACTTATCTGGCCTTGGGTTGCCATACCCTTTATAATTAAAATAAAAACAAACCCCACTGCTTCTACACCTCCCCAGTGTCACATGCTAACCCCCCCCCCCTACCCCTCCAACCAGTAGACCAGAGGCCTGGGGCTGCTGCCTTGCCTGGCGGAGGTGTCACTGGGCTGGCCATTGCAGGGGCTGGCTGGATGGGCTCGGAGGAGGCCTGACAGCTGGGGTAGCTCCTCGGAGGGCCCCCCTCCACCAGGGCAACGAGGCACGATCCCCATCTTACTCCTGGAGCATGGGGCCTTGGGCTGCTGTGCTGGCTGGCAGAGGTGTGGCTGGACCTGGGCTGCTCCGGGCTGGATCTGAGGGTGGCTAGCCGCAGACGGTTGCCAGTGGCGGTTGCTGCGCTGCCTCCCCTCTCCTCCACTGGCCGTCGCTGCCATTTGGAAAAGGCTGGTGCTGGGAGGTGGTTGTCCATGAGCATGGCTGGTGACTCCAGTGTGTGTCTGGGCAGCCCTTCCATATCCCTTCCCATTCGGAGAAGCCCCAGGTTGGGGACCAGTGTAGCAGTAGACCTCTGCCACACCTTTTGCTGGGCCCCTCCGACACAAGACACAGGTTGTTGTTATAGTATATCCATTTATTGGCGATGGCAAGATGGTACAAGCCGAGCAGGTGTAATACTCTGTTATGACAGTGGCTCTCTCCTGAGTGTGTGTGTTGATAGCTGGTTTATCCTGGGTGCCATGATTACTCTGCACCACAGGTGTGCAGTCCCACCCAGCCAGAGTCTCATCAGTCTGACTCAGGCCAGGTGAGGCTGTAAACCAGCTATCAACCACACACACGCACTCCACAATTATGTATATTTAAGACATGTTACTGTCCCTGGCATGTGTTACAACCACCCCTGTACACTGGGACAGTTGTAACAGTTGAGCGACTGTATTTAAATCAATTTTGCAACCTGTACATATACTGTAGCATACCCGTACATTTCATAAAACCACTTAAATACATTTTGTCAGTAGTTGATTTATTGAAGTTTATAATATAGCAAATTGACTATTACAGTGGTTTATTAGAAAAATCGCTAAAAAGTGTTACATCCGTCCATGGTCTCCTTGTATCCATTTGAGACATTTTTAAACGTGAGACGTATCCAGTTGATTGCGTTTTAGATAGGCTGCAGTTTAGGCCAGGGTACTTTGTAATTCGCCTATTGGGAAGAAATATTGACCAAATGATGGCTCTATAGAGAGGAGTGCTGTTGCCCGACGGCTTCACTTGAAAGCCCCGTCTCCTCGGCCGGTATACAACGCTAGACACCCAGGACCCATACCTTTATTCAGATTGCTACAATTCGGAGCGTGAATATCTGTTATATCCAATATCTTTCTTTCTATATTTCATGAGTCTTTAAATTCGCAACCACACAACAGCGCTATGCTTCTTTACATTTTACTTTCAGTTTTGATGTCGGGGCGTTCCTTGCCGGCGGACATTATTGTAAAACTTGTCGAACACGGGGGAACTCCACCTACCCGGGCCAGCAAGTGTTACATCCCGGCAGTTTAGGGTTATGTTTTCTTGTTTCTAGTTCTTGTTTTGAAGATACTCACCCCTTGGGCCCTATCTTGCACTCAGCGCAATTGACTTTGTACACTGGCGCTTGTACAATTCCTATTTTGCGCCAGACGCACATTGGAATTTTCCCTCAACCGGCGCAAGTCCTTAACTTAGGGAATGAACTTGCGCTCCGGGGGCGGTTCAGCGAAAACAGGAGGCGTGTCCCGGCGCAAACGTTCCCTGGTGCTATTTTGCAGTTTCAGAAAACAATTGCGCCACAGACCAGGAAAAACCAAGTCTAAAGTCAGTGGCGCTTATTCAGATGCTATTTTAAGGGCGCATGCTTGGCCATAATGTAGTGTGTGTACAACGTGCATACACTTTGTTTCTCTCATCTACAAGGAAGCAGTTCCCATTTTTGCAAACCATACATACAAGCAAAAATATTACACACCACATATGTGAAAAAATAGGCATAAATCTAGCGTACACAGTTACCCAAAATATTCAGGCTAATAGTAATGACGGATCAAATTAACCTGTTTGACCAATAGTCGCAAGACACATGGATAAGGACACCAGGATGACACCTTTTATTATGCCAGCAACAGCGCGTGAAATGTTTTATAATCAAACACACAGAAACACGTGGTGTAATTGAAAGAACATTCGGCATACTGAAAATGCGCTTCAGGTGTTTGGATAAATCAGGAGGCACTTTACAGTACAGTCCTCAAAAAGTCGCAGCATTCTTTGTGGCATGTTGTGTTTTACACAAGTATGTCTTTGCGACATTTCTTTATTTACATTTTGTCAACGGAAAATGAAAAGCTGAAAAGATTTAAACAGAAGAACTAATTATTTTTCCCTCTGATAGGCATGCGCGCGCTATGGCGGGATTGGACACGTCTGGGTCCAGTAGTGGCAATGCGCGATGTGCTCGCCATGGAACAAGCGCGCCTGCTTTTAAAGGGAATGTGAGACGACGCTCTGATTGGTTTATTGCACGTTAGGCCCAAACCACACCTATGACTAATGTAGCTACTTCAGACCAACCCATTTTAGATTTGCGCTGGGCGCAAGAGTCATTTATCCCGCCGGCATAATAGCAACAGCGCCCAAGATCCGCCCACAATGCTACTTGCGCTTTGCGTTTGACACTTGCATTTCAGACCGTCAAGATAGGGCCCCTTGTCTCGTTTCAGATTCTTCCCATGTGTCTTCCCCTGCCCCGGCCTAATTAGTTCCACCTTTGTCCAATCAGAGGAGAGAATCGTTGTTCTCCCCTCTCTTTGTGCCAATTCGTCCGAGTCTAGCGTTCCAGCCATTTTTCCTTGTGTATTTCTTATGTTGATAGACCTTGGTTCTCATGTTTATCGACTTTTCTCTAGTCTAGCGTTTTGGATACCTCTGCCTGATTACCGGACTCATTTTTTGTGTACTGATTCCCTGCTTAAAGTAATGACTTTTTCTGTCAACCTGCCTTGAGTGTTGAGTCATCATTTGAGTCCACTGTCTGTTGGTACCACTGTCACAGCCAGTAAACTTTGGCGAACAAATCTATTTTCAGTTTCAACAACAATGAAATCCGGGGAAACGAGAGTTCACTTGGAAGCGGACCGAGACGCCCATTTTCAAGTGGACCAGAATTTGTTTCTTTGGCCTGCACCAAAGTTCGAATGAGCGTACACCCCCCCCCCCCCCCCCCCCCGTACTATCGGTCAAAATGCTCCAGGGTTTGATTAAAATGGACCAAACAGCTCAGGTGTGAAAGCACCTCAATTCAATTTTGTGGCTGTAGCCGTGTGTGTGTGTGTGTGTGTGTGTGTGTGTGTGTCTAATCTCGGATCCAGCAGTCCTACTATGTTATAGCACAACTTCTGGGGGGAGACGGCACAGAGACTCGGACCAAAAACTGAAAGGACGGAGTTACACCTTTTTTCCTTTTTCCTTTACAGATACTTTTTTTTTTTTACAGTTTACTAGTGCTGGCTGAGTTTGTGTTTGGCATTTAGGTGCTTACAGATCCCTGCCTCCAGCAACATAATTGGTCGAAACAAATATCAGTTGAAAGGAAGTGAAACCCCTCCATTCGCCTAGATTTGAGCTCGTCTGCCGTCAGACTTTAGATATCAATCTAAAGTCTGATTTGCGAGACTAGTGTGTGCCTAACAGCATTTCACACTACTGCAGTCTCACATTAATTTTAATTTAATAGCTATTTAACCTAAATAACCTTAATCCTTTGATTTTCCCATGTGTGCGATGCCGTATTTCCCCAGCCATTTGCAAACAAACAGATGCCCTCTGCAATGCTTACCCCTCTACTCTGAGTAATTAGAAGAAATAGATGTTATGTGGTCCTCGTAGCTCAACTTGTAGAGCATGGCATTAACTGTTCCCAATGTTAGGGGTTCGATTCCCATTGGGACCA